ACGCATCATAGCTCACTTTCAAATTTGAAGTTGCCTTCACTTTCAAATTTGAAGTTGCCTTCTGATCGGGGCATGCATGGGCAAATCAAAGCCAGAGCAAAAATATTAGCATGGGTGTTGAGATTAATTAGCATTGAGTATCCTGTGGAAGGCCCGTAATCTTCCGTGCGTTTAGGATTTTCCGAGAATAATCTACCAGACCATATTGTCCTAGCGTGTGTCAATCACTCTACAGCTTTCTCTTCCTGTCTCGCTCTAGGGTTCTTTGATTCCTCTCCTTTTTCTCGTAGGGACTGTGCTAGAACGATTTGTTCTCTCTTGGTGATTGCGCTAGGGGTTTAACCTGTTGGTGTTGGATTTGTTGCAGGTTATCTTGTCCACTTGTCAATCAAGATACTGAAGAGTAGTTTGGGTTTTGGTTCGAGTTCAATCTTTGAGCCTTTGAGGTGTTCGATTTTGTCCCTTTATCCGTTGATCCATTCCGTTATCTAGCTCCACCAGCACTATCCTTGCGGTGGCCGGGGGTGGAGATGGTCTTCGCTTCCCTCAACACCAGCACTATCCTTGCGGTGGCCGGGGGTGGAGATGGTCTTCGCTTCCCTCAACACCAGCACTATCCTTGCGGTGGCCAGGGGTGGAGATGGTCTTCGCTTCCCTCAACACAACTTTGGGATCGTTAGTTAGAAGAACACCACCTATCATGTACATATAGGTGGTCCTTCCCGTTACATATCATGTGCTAGATTGACAGGACCAAAACCAAATCGTTGGTTGGCTACTCCGATCAAGGTGCACCCGTACGTGGGTGTGGTCGGCCACATCCCATTCACTTTCTTTCTCTTGGTTGTTAGCCAAGACCAAATTCCCTCACAAGAAAGTTTCACCACACCTCGGTGAATACTACTCCCTCCGTCCAGTGAAAAGTGTGCATACAGAAATTTTAGGACAAATTATGAAGTGGAGTAAAATATGCATTGGAAGATGCAAGCCGCTATCTCTCTCCTCTCAAATTACCCAACCCCTAATGAGCTAAATGCATATAGGAATTAAGGAAACCATGTGTAGAGTGTTATTAGTCTTGATTACCATGTGATTAGAGAAAAGCATTTTTTTCCTACTTTAAAGCGCATTGGAAAGATAGAAGTACATTCTTTTGTGGACAAATTTTAAACCCAAACATACACTCTTCACCGGACGGGGGAGTATATATTTTGACGCTTGCAGAGGGAAAGTGCTCACTAGGTTTAGATTTGCATGAACCGAACATGGCATAAGAAGACGGTAGTAGGAAATGATTCAGTTGATGTGACTTTCGTATGAGAGCAACATCATGGTTTAATACGACTGTTGACGTGCAAAGATTAGTGTTGCCAGGGTCGAAAGAGGGCCGGTGCATAATCTGATGTGATGTACGATCGCATGGATCTTCAAATCTACCGTTGGAATCAATAATAGGCATCCACGCAGGTAGAAAACACCAGTCGAATTATGTTAACAACATCAATGGATCATATAATCTAACAACGGAGTCTTCACATGTGTACGATTGTAGATTAGAGAGGTCTGAGATTGCGATCTAACAACCGAGTCTTCACATATGTACAATTTTAAATCCATGATTTTGTTTTTCAAATTGGCAAAGAATTTACAAAGTTCAGGAATGTTTTTGAAATTCATAAATATTTTTCATACTCAAGAACGATTTTAAAATTCATCAACATTTTTGTGAATTCACTAAAAAATCACTAATATCTACAAATTCACGAATATTTTTCAAATACCTGAACATTTTAACTTTTTGACTGTTTTTAAAAATTCATTAACATTTCATAAAATTCAGGAACATGTTTCTGAAACAGTGAACATTTTTTGAATTGAACTATTTTTAAATGATGAACCAAACAGTGAAGTATTTAGTTGTCAAGCATGACAAATTTCTTTTTGGATGTTTTTATTAGGTTTGTTTTTCCTTTTCGGATGACAACTTTAGTTGTAAAAAACGTCAAGCCCACACCATTGACACTTATCATTTGGTTTTTTATTTTTCTAAACCTAATTTTTTTATCTATTCTAAAAAGAAAATCTGGTTTATAGACCTGACGCATTTATCTCCTTGCACAAAACTTAATGTGCATTTGCTCGCTATCCACCCCTCAAAAAAAAAA